CTGTATATCAAAGTTGATGTTCTCCATCATTTTATCACAATGACCAGATTTAGAAAATGTGAGTACCAGCTGCTTTTGTAGCTGGAGATATAAGAATGAGGAATTTGACAGAAAAGTTTTGTTTGGTTAATGAATGCACATGCAAACTCTCTTCTTTTGACTGGCCCAATTCTGCAAGAAAAAGCAAGACAGGAAGCAGTTAAGTTTGGATGAATGACTTTAAGGTATCAGAAGATGGATAGCTAGAAAAATTCAAAGCAAGATGGGGATTGTTTCCCTGAAAGCAGCTGGAGACGAGGATGGTGTTGATCCTGAAGTGAAGAAGAGTGGTATTTAAAATTGAACACTTTAACTGCTGGTTATGATCCCAAAGATATCTTCAATGCTAATGAAACTGGCCTTTTTTTCAATTTGATCAAATTTTGCCCTCAAAGTAGAGAAATGCCATGGAGGAATGAATGAAGTAAAGAATGCTTTACAATGCTTCTCTAGTCTAACAGCGATTGAACTGAGAAGTTACAGCCCCTAGTTATTGGGAAATTTGACAATATCTGATTTTTTTAAAACAGTAATTGTCCTGCCCATATAAGAATAATGCAAAGCCATAGATAACATCTTCATTATTTGTTGTCTATTGATGCAAGAATGGGTGCATAAAATAGAAAGATATTAGTGTTCATTGACTGTTGCAAAGTCCATAAGGTAGATGGTGTAAAACTAAGGAACATCAACATGATTTTCTTCCCATCCAACTGCACAAATAAGTTGCAACCAATGGACTAATGCATTATTGGTGAAATGGCATTATAGGAAATCACTAATCTAGTATATGCTTCATCAAATGGATCAAAATGGAAATGTGTTTTCTTCCTTAAAATGGAATGTATTGGAGGTGATGCATAGACTGTGCTTAGTGTGAGACAGGTTTATTGATGGAACTGCAATTGAAATTTGTTCTGTACATTCCAATTTAGAATACTCCGTACATTTCTATATTCAATGGTTGACTCAATGGTGAGAGAACGTTTCTAAATGGACCGTTGAGTTCTCCATTGAGACTAGGGACGTCAGTGCTGTTTTACCATTGAGCTCAACGGTCTCAATGACCTGAAAGACCATTGAGTATTTAACAAACTAACATGACGACTTCCATGAAAAAGTAAATTTTGCTTATAGAAACTATCCATTCGCTGCTGTGGATGCTGTAATATCAGACAGATTAATGAACGATCTGTATATGATAAAACATGTGATTGCACGATTATGTTGGATAATTTGGTCAATATTGAAATATGAAGATTTTTTTCATTTGTCCAAAATTGATTATGATCTATATTGACCCTCTAAGTCTTCCTAATGATATAAATATTCAAGAAATTAATTAAAATTATTAAAGAAAGACACAGTATACAAGAAAATGATACAGATATGGATTCATTTGAATAAAAGGATTTATTTGAATAAAGGTTAAGCGAGTTGCTTTAATTATTTAGCAAAACAGACACAATTGCCACCTTCTCGTTACTTAAGTCAGCCATCTTGAAAAGTGACCTCTCAACGAAAGCGTTTCTTTTTTCTGCAAATAATGACGTCAGATTGTTCAATGGAGAGACTCAACGGAAAATTCACTGTTGAGTCAACCATTGAATATAGAAACGTACAGACTGTTGACCTGAAGCAGATCTTGTGTAAGATCTTGCTTATTGAATTTTATTTATGTTTATTGAATTTACATTAAATTATTTACTGGGATTATCAAGATTTTGATTGGCGTACTTATAGTTATTGATCTATCTAATATGAAGGAGTTAATTTTGCTACAATTAAGAATTGCTTTGTGAAAGCTGGTTTTCTTGATGACAATGTTGAAGTTACTGATCAGGGCATTGTCATGGACTGTGCAGATGGTAGGAGTGAAATGATCTGGCACAGCTGGGTTTTAATCTAGAAGGATTAACAGTTCAAGATTTTGTGGTTATAGATGGCAGTGTTGAAGTGGCAGATGATGGGATAGTGAAGTGATCGGTCATCAGGAGTCAGTTCCTGATGAAGATGACTTTGAAGATTGAGACCCCACCATCTAAGTTCTCTAAAATTAGCAAAGTCATGGGCAGAATTGAACACTCTGTAAGCATTCATTCTAACTTCAGAAAATGTCAACATGATATGAGACTTTTAACAACTTAAATTTGCCATTATTAAAGATCTACCAAAAATTATGAGAAGTCAACAATTAAAGATTATTTTGCTAAAAGAATAAACATGTAGGACTAACATTTTACACAGCAGGAGAATGTGTAATTACAAGAATGAATAAAAACATTGTAAATCAAAAATTTTGTTACTAAACGTTGTTGCTATATATTCAGTTGTTGCTATATACTCTATTATCTTTTTTTACACTTACCATACTTAAACACTAAAACAGAAAAATTTGATTTTCTGAAATTCATTAATTAGAAAGTTTGCTGTACTTCCTTAATACATTGTTACTAGTGACGTTGCGGCTGAAGTTTTCATTTCTAAAACGTGAACCTTGAGCGCTGCTGTCTTGTAAGTGACGCTTGATGTTTGACGTTTACGTTTTAGAGATGAAAACTTCGGCTGCAACCTCACTATTATGTCATTAGCATTATACAAGGTAAGAGATGGCTGGCTATGGGAATGGAGAGTCAGAAAAAATTTTTTTGTTTCCTGCCATAAGACTAGGTTTTGGTTTATTATGTAGCACTTCTTCATATATTATAAGTTAGTAAATAGTCTGTACTTTGAGTCATAAATTCAATTATTTTTTCCCTAAATTCAGTTTCCATCTCTGGATTAGACTCATTTATTTAACATAATGACTCTTAAATCATACAAAAAGTATTTTTAATTTTATTTACAACTGTATTTAAGCAAATATAGACCTTTTGATTACATTAAAAACTGTAAAAATTTGTATTATTATGAGAAGTTAATTCTTTTTTAAAACTTTTACACTTCTCTTTTGTGTACTATGTATAACCTAACAAAATTCATGAAATGAACTGTGTTGTACTATGTCTTTTTTGTCTTTGTTGACAAAATACTCTTGTATCTTAGATAATGCAGAACATTTGTTAAATGGATCTCAGTTAATTAGAATTCTACTGTATTCAATTGGGAAGCTAACACTATCTAGTCATGATCTATTTCGACCAACATAATAAGCAATACACTGTGAAAAAGCCATAATTTTATTAATCAAAAGCATAATTTAGATTAAGAAACATTGATATAATCAATCAAAATTATCACCTTTTTAAATATTCCAGCAAATAATTTAATATCGTAAAAATGTTTTCGATCGTCTTTAACAACCTTCATCAGTTAAATAATAAAGTAAAAAGAACATTAAAGAAATAGAATGTAAATTAAAATTACAAAAAAATAATAACTGTGCTAANAGTCATCCTTCTGTAAATTCTTCAGAGGATCTTAATAAATAATTCATTATTACTTTGAAGTTTTAATTTTTTTCAAGTTTAACTTTTGGGAACAAAATAAATTTGTTAGCTGTCAGATGAATAAATAATTTGGATGTATCAATAATTATATATTATCACTGATGAAAAATATCTACAGGTTGACTGCTGATTTTTTGTCTACTTAAGTTTCAAAATTGTATTAGACTAATAAGTCAGTCAGATCATTCAAGGTCACATAATATTCAATGGTATTGCCTGGACTACTAGTTATGTATTTCATGTTTTTACAGCATTATGAACTACTAGATACTTGAATTAAGCATATATGCTGTCTTGCAAATTAAAGGGAATTTGTAAATAAGTGTACCTTGTAACAAATAAATGTAGCATATACTTGTTAACTTAAACTTATTTTCTTTTTCTATTAAATGTTTCATCCAAAAGCAAAAAGAAATCATGGATTAATTTTTAACACATGAATGTTTAACACAATTTTTAACGATGGATTAAATGTTAAATTAAATTTGTCTGTAATTCTTTTTCTCTTGATTTTCTTTATATATGACTGCTAATCCAAATAACTGTACAATAATTAGTTCATACTATTATGAGTTCACTGTATACATGCTGTATCAGAATGACGTTTTAAAAATTTGGGGGATTGTAGAGGATGAAATTTTGAACGTTTTGATATAAGGAATCTATAGCTAGAAATGTGATATAAAGTTTCTATAGCACTTTGCATGTTCTATGCAGTTGGTATGCTGAATGAAACAACAGAATACAGTATTTATGACAAGTTTTATTGACAAAACAGTAGAGTACAATCAAACTACATTGAATCAGTGGCTGCACTACTTTAGAGTAAATGTTCAATGTGACGATCACCAACTTCATTACGTAATGAGCAATGACAAACCATATTTTGTCCGACCCTCTGTAAGATGCCACGCTCCCCTCTGATGGTATTAAATGCTGTAAAGATGTGCTCCATAAGCTCATGAACTGTTCCTACAGGTGTTGCATACACAAGGGACTCATGTTGACTAATTGTGTGTTTACAGCACAGTGCCAGTGGATGCAAGGGGTGACCTGAAGGACAGCAAGCACTAAGTACACAATGTCCTGTACACAGGCTCAGTTAGACCACTGTAGTTGTGTTTTTACAGTCTTCCATCTGCAGCAATAATATGATGTCAATGGACAGAAGGGTAGCTACCAAAGTGAAGGGCGTCAAGCACTTCCTACTGCTGTAGACACTTTAGTTCAAATTTCCGGCTATAGGTGCCTTATATCAAAACGCTCAAAATTTCATTCTCTACAATCCTCCAAATTTTTAAAATGTCATTCTGATACACCCTGTATACTGCACTACCAATGAAAATTTATCATTAAAAAATTTTTCTGATAACATTTTAAGAACTTTGTCAGATACAAATAACATGATTAAATATTATTTATTTTATACATTTTACCATTGAATTATTTATACATATATAATACTTTATGATTAAATTTATAATTCTAATTGAAATTATAATTTTTATTAAGGATTGTTTGACTAATTACCCTGCTGCAGTCGATGTATTGTCCATGGGTGAACCTTCCTATTTTCAATATGGTGGAGCCTCTCAACAAAGGCTTTTACCAGCAGATGCAAATAGAGGTAATACTTAATATCTTTTCAAGAAATAATTTTTATGAGATGTGTTCTAAAAGATTTTAGATATAACCCTTAAAAGATGTAACATTCTTTATTGTTGCATTTTTCAAAGTAGATATAATTATTTACTATTGTTCTATTTTTACACTTTTTATTTTAATAAAACAATGCTTATAATGTGCAAGTCAGTCATCCTTCTGTAAATTCTTCAGAGGATCTTAATAAATAATTCATTATTACTTTGAAGTTTTAATTTTTTTCAAGTTTAACTTTTGGGAACAAAATAAATTTGTTAGCTGTCAGATGAATAAATAATTTGGATGTATCAATAATTATATATTATCACTGATGAAAAATATCTACAGGTTGACTGCTGATTTTTTGTCTACTTAAGTTTCAAAATTGTATTAGACTAATAAGTCAGTCAGATCATTCAAGGTCACATAATATTCAATGGTATTGCCTGGACTACTAGTTATGTATTTCATGTTTTTACAGCATTATGAACTACTAGATACTTTAATTAAGTATACAGTTAGACCTCCTTATAAAATGGGTTCATATAGTTCGGATTCCTATATAATGGCAAAAAAATTGCGACCATATTCGTATAAGCATGCTAAAAGAGTATAATTCAGTTAAATGTCATCGTCGACTTGTGTCGTGACAGGATTGGTCAAATCTAGACCAATAGTGGATATTGCACAAATCGTTGAGTTTAAACGAGCAGCGGACCTACTAAAAACCATTTATTATTTAAATGGTTTTTAGTAATGGTCCATAAAAATTATATTTATATTAATGATGTCTCCAAAGTTCAGCAAAGTTTTCGCAGAAAAATAATTTATCAAGAAGCACGCGAGCGCCATTCGATGCACCGCTCCACGACGAAAATAAGCTTAAGCAATGGCATCGTCGAACGGTGCACACTTGGTAAGTAATCCTGCAATTTTTTGTTTATAGCACAGTTTATATGGATTATTTCCAAAAAATATACGTATTTTGGAAATGCTGAGTCGAATTAGTCTTGAATCAATTAATTTTATGGAAGAAAACCTTTCAAACGGCCATAGTCCGTAAACTGCATACGTGCCAGGCTGTGATTGGCTCATGTATTTAAGGACTCGTAGAATATCAATTTCATAAAGAACGGAATGTATCTACTGTGTTATAGGGGGGTCGACTGTATATGCTGCCTTGTAATTTAAAGGGAATTTGTAAATAAGTGTACCTTGTAACAAATGTGTTTGTGTGTGTATGTATGTATAAATGTAACAAATGTGTCTTATTTTGACATAAATGGCTTGTTTGACACAGAAATAATACAGAAACATAAAAGACATAATTAAAAACAAAGACTTATTGGCTCAAATAGTTCAAAAAATTAACTTAATAAATATTCAGGTTTTACAAGTTGAAAAGCAAAGTCCCTTTTCTGCAGAAACTTTAAATGTTATCAAGACTAATAATGTAGATGGTTCCCAATGACTGAAATGCAAACCTCACAGCATGAGGCACTGCTACAGGTCAGGCTGTCCAGAAGAGAGTAGTTGATATTTGTGGCCATTCATATGAGTAATGTGCAGTTTTTTGATGATGCAAGGAGTGATGGAAGGGAAAGGAAAAAGTGAAATATGATGATCTAGGACATTTTACGTAAGCTCTATTGGGCCCCACTTCATATGGGTGATTGCATTCTCTTCTGGGTACTGGGCAATTAGTCTGTAGTCTGACACTATGAGATTGAGTGTTATTGTTCTGTGTGAAACTTTTATCTACTGCATAGGCATATGATCTAACAGTGGGGCTGAGGATTTTTCTTGTACCTGCAAGTCATTATTGAACTTTTTGAAACCACAGAGGTCAGTAAAACTGCTCAAGGATATTCCTACTAACCCCATAACAACATTTCCTCTCCAAGAGTTAATTCCATAATGTTTGAAAGATGATACTTGGTACAGGTTCTTCTACAACTTATGTGCAAAAGTTTCACCTTTTGCAAATTTGCATAAGGTAATATATTTCTGCATTAAAATAAATATTTTTAGGTGTGTAAATACTTTGTTTCACTGAGAAAATTAAGCTTTTAATAGATTTATTTTTATCACTTTTATTGAAATTGTGCAAATGTGTTTTTTCATTACAAAATGCTATTGTGTAATTAATTTGTTTTGACACTCCTCCTTTTTATACTAATTTAGTCAAAAAGTAGGGCCTACTTAGGCCCTTGTGCCACTAAACACCAAATCCAATCAACCAACCATCAAAAAGTAGAGATGTGCAAATACTTATTTTGTTCACTGTATAGGCATCACTCCTTTTCTCTAAATCAGACTTTTGGTACTACTAGCTTTTGATGGCTATAGGCAAAGTCAACCATCTGCTTCCATTCAATGGTTATGCCAGCATTTATGCAGCATGCATATTCTGATCAAGAAAAATTGTAAAAAAGTTGGAAACATACAGTATCATGTGCTGGTACAAAATATCACAGATAACTTATCAAATTTTGTGAAAATACAAAAATTTTATGGTAATTCAGTATTTTTGATAATTTAGCACTACTGGTCCTGTACTGTCAGATGAATAAATAATTTGAATGTATCAATAATTTTATATTATTATCGATAAAAGATATCTACAGGTTGACTGCTGATTTTTTGGCTACTTAAATTTCAAAACCGTATTAGATTAATAATTCTGTCAGATCATTCAAGGTCACATAATATTCAATGGTATTACCTGGACTACCAGTTATGTATTTCATGTTTTTACAGCATTATGAACTAAACTACTAGATACTTGAATTAAGCATATATGCTGTCTTGCAAATTAAAGGGAATTTGTACCAGATTAACAAACTTCTGTAAATTAATTAAATAATTTAATATGTGATATAGTTTATCTGAAAAATTATTAAAATTGGAAATTTTTTTAAGTTCTAGATCTTTTCAAAATGATATAAAACTATTTTTCTAAAGTTTATATTTTCAACTTCCATAATACAAACAATATTGGTTTGGATAATGATAACACAGTAATATGTGTCAAAGCCAGAATTGCATGGACACTGTTAACTTTCTCGCTTAGGTGGTTTTTTGTTTCAAAGTTGTCTTCATGATTAAAATGATTCTACAAGCATCATGGACTTCAATTCTTCAAGAGATACACACAAAATAATTTTGGCTGTGGACTTTACATAGTAATTGACACAAAAACTTTATCTGCAATGTGTGCCATAATTTATTTGATGTGACATCTGGCATAAAACTTTTACAGTTTGCTCTTTCAAATGGCATCAACCTTTAGTCATTCAAACTCATGATTTGTATGTTTTAACTGTTCATTTCTTTATATCTCTAAGCAGAACAGTGTCTTTCAAATGAAGAAATGAAAGTACAGGTACTCTACATGAAACTTCTTTGTGTTGTCTTGCTGAAAATATAGACATCTTGGATTTACTGAAATTTGATACTTTTGAGATCTGCATATATCTTAGCAGTAATTAAAGCTGAAGCATTTAATTACTGCTTTCTGTAATATGACCTTTTTAAAATTTGTCAATGCTTCAGGAAAATGTAGCAATCTTCTTGTTGTTTTAAAACCAAAGTGGACTTAGGCCAAGAACACAAATACATAAAATACAGCATAAATGTGGATGAAAACAGAAAATATAGCAATATTTTTTGAATTTTCTGCTGGAAATGAGCACACAATTGAGTAGAGCAAGTTTTTTTTACATGCTGAAAACTTTTTGTTGAAATTAAGCCAATAGAAAGTCTCAAAATGATTATTTTAGTTATGAGATTTTGATAACTCATACTTTTAGCCGATGCATTTAGGAACTGAAAGATATTTAAGTCAAAATTGTTCTAAGATTTATTGTAACTATTTGAGATTACTTATTAAGAATTACCTGTTTTTAACATATTTCACTTTATTGTTCAATATTAGGCTCTCAGTGATCATATCAGTTATTCATGTGTTGGTGCATCATTAGGCTCTTTTTTTTTGAAACAATTTACAAACTCATTGATATCAATTATGATACTATATAAACTATTCCTAAAATCAATCATTGTACGAGGCGTGTTTTTAAAGTAAGTACCGTTTTGAAATATAAAAAAAACAAGCAAACATTTTTAACAAAATTTTTATTTATGTGAAAGCCCATATTTTACACTACTTTTTTACATAATTCCCATTAATATTGAAACACTTATTGTATTGTGGGACCAGCTTTTGTATTCCGTCCTCAAAGAATGTTGCCGCCTGATGACACAACCACTGCAGAACGGTCGTTTTGACTTCGTCGTGATTGTTATGGTACTGCCCTGCCAGATGCTTCTTCAAATGCAGAAACAAATGATAGTCACTCGGCGCTAGGTCGGGACTGTATGGAGGGTGGTCTAATTGTTCCCAGCCAAATGATGTGATTAGGTCTTGAGTTTGATTTGCCGTATGTGGACGAGCATTATCGTGGAGCAAAACGACACCCTTGCTCAGTAAGCCCCGCCTTTTGTTTTGTATTGCA